GGTGAAGTGAGACCTTTGCTAGTTAGTATCAAACTTTGTCTCTCATCTGTGGGTATTTTGTTTTTTCTTTCAGTTCTGTGTTGGTTTATTTGCTGTTCCCAGTACTTAAACTCTGCACTGGAACTAATTTGTTGTCCTTTGCTTGCTTCCAAAATGGGGGAACTTCCTGTTGGGACTAGCACCCCTGAGATCCAGTGCTCCTGAGTTGTGCAGAAACTCTTTTCTGGACCTGAGTCTTTTCAGCAAACTGCTCCCTCTGCAGTATTATATTCCTGACAAGCCTACCCAGAGTGGTCCTGCGCTGATTAGGTGGGAGATCAGCTGTTCTTGCTGTGCCCCAATTTCCCCCCAGTGGTCTGTCTCCCGCACCCCCCATACTCCAAACACTTCCCATGGGGCGGGCTGTGTGCTGGTCCCTTGCGATGACTCATCAGCCTCTGAGTGGCTCCTTTTTTCAGTTGTTGTGGCTCCTCACTCCTATGTGGGTCCATGGGAACGCTGTTAGTGGTCTTGCTGGCCGGCCACCAAGGCCCTCCTCTCCTCTGTTGCCTCCATGTAACTTCATAGGAAGGGCACAGCAGGGACTTTTGCCAGCTCTTGCTCCACGCATTCACCAGCTCCAGACTTTAAGCAGCTGGGGCTTGAAATGGTAGGAGTGATCCTTTCTTTCTCTCATCGTGGCTTCTCCCACCTTCATGCACTCTGTAGGTCTTTCCTCTTCCCCTGAGCTCTAGCAGCCCCAGCTTGGCTGTCATTGCTTTTTAATAGTTGTAAGTTGGTTGATTTGTGGGAGAGAGTGACGCTGGGGACTGTCTATTCTGCCACCTTGACAGGAAGCCTTGACTTTACTTTTGAACTGGATCCTGAGGAGAGTTGTAGTAGGCCTCAACAATGAAAGGTTCCTTTCTATAAAATGTGAGGACTTTAGAGAAAGGAGCAGCATGATTTTTCTGAAAAGACTCCACAGTCACTTGACCCTCTTCAGCTGGAGAATTCCATTTCAGAGATATTGGGTGTGATACTACACCAGTGATACAATATTCTCTGACTTTGAAAGCAGGCGATAAGATTGCGTACTGCAAAGCATAGCCTCAAGTGACAACTTCATCAGCGTTTAATATTGTACTAAGTTCTTTACCAAAAAATTTGCTGATCTTCTCTTTTTACTGCAGGGACTCAAGTAGTACCACCAACTATCGCCATTGCATAAGCACCTTCTTTCTTTAACTTGGCTTGTTCCAAAATACTGTGAAGTGGTGGCTCAATTCTAATTAAGAGATTATCACACATCTCCAGAAATTTACCTCTATTTATGGTTCCAGATGCATCAACATCATTCATAAAACATTCAGTGCTCTAAGGGAGGTCTGAAACATTTGCGCTCATTAATTTGCTTAGTTTCTCACAGTCCTGAGAAAGTTGTAATAATGCATGGATTTTGGACTTTATGTTTAACTTGTACTTCTTCCCAAATTCTTCACAGAAGTGATTTATTAAGACTTCATCAAATTTTTGGCCTTCCACTGGTATGTCAAATGCAGTGGTCAGAACTTAGTTTTGCTCTATTAAATGCACATACAGAAACTTGATGAGCAGAATGCCCCATGTCTACGAAAACTGCTTTTCTTGGTTTCTCTTCTAAGGCAGGAAGATCTTGCTTATAGCTTACATATGCAAGAGCAACTGCAGTAGTTTCATTCATTAATTTCAGGCAGCTGAGACCAGCATTCTCTGTTGCATCCATCACTGATGTCTTTCTGTATAGAAACAAGGAACCGAAATAACATAGTCAAAAACAGGCTTTTTAAGAACACTTTCTGCTGTCTCCTTCAGTTGGGCAAAAGCATGGCTGTCACTTGCTCAGTGGTAAAATTTTGCTCTTCCTCTGTATATGTCAATTTTATACTCGTTAATCCAGCAGGCAGTTGCACAATATAATATGCATTTTTCTGCCTCCACAAATGGATCAGAGAATGCTCATCCATGGAATCCTTTAAATCCTCGTACTGTATTTTTTGCATTGGAAAGTACATGGCTTTTAGCTGCTGCTACAATTGAACGATTCTTAGGACCAAAAGAAATACAATCTGGTGTGCAGCATTTGCTGTCCTCATTAGCCATCATCTCAGTGCCACCAGTGCGAGTCACAGTGATGTAGCAGTTCTGGAAGCCCATGTCTACGCCAGCCACCAGCATGGCACTGGCTACTGCGTGGGCTTGGGCCCAGGTTTGGCCGCTGAGACAGGACATGGACCCCGGCAGAGCTAGTGTGCAGAGAGCTGCCATGAAGGCTGGCATACTGGGGTTACTGGGGGATAAGTGGGTGTCCACGGAAGTGCCCCTAGGTGCTTGGCAAATAAATTATCTTAAGTTTAAAAAAGCAAAGGTGATATGCATATAAAGTAAAAATCGGACCAGGGTGCTCGCTTTGGCAGCACATATACTAAAGGGTTAAACCAGAAATTGGTAGAAGCTTTTAAATGATAGGGAATCATTGAAGGGTTTGAATAGAACATACACTCTATTAAGTGTGTGTGTTATGTAAGAAGATCGGTGTTATTGTTTTGTTGTGATTGTTTTTGCAGTGGTGTAGCTGACAGATGATGGTCTAAACCAGGGCAGAAAAGACAACTTTAAAGATATTTAGGAGATAGCTTGCGCAGGGCTTGGTGATTAATAGGTGATTAGTTATGGAGGTTAAGGGAAAAGGGTGAATGTTATGAACTCCTATATTTCTGAGTTGGTTAGTTGGGTGAGTGGGAGGGAAGTCCATGGAAATGGGGAGTATAGAAGGTAGAGCAAGTATATTCCCTTTGAGGTGCCTGAGAGAGGTGTTCATTCCTCAGTTGGATTATGTATCAGTCTGTAGCATGAGAGTGTGTTAGGTAAATAGTGGTTTACATCTCAGGGGATTAGTTTAAATCACCTAGAAGTGTAAAAAAGCTTAGAAGCAAGAATGGAGCAGAGGACGCAGAGTGAAGGGCAGACACTGGAAGAGGAACCTACAAAGGAAGCTGAGAGGCAAATGTCAGGAGAGAGTGGGGTGTCTGCAACCAAGGAAGGAGGATAGTTGAAAACAAAAGGGAGTAGTTACCAGCTAAGATAATGTTTGAAAAATGGTTATCCCTGGGAAAGGAGGGAGGGGACCAGAATAAGGACAGATGATCAAAGGGATTTTAGATCTTAGCCTTATCTTAAATGTTTAATTTATTTTACAAAAAAAGTATTTATAAAAGTGATGTGTTAAAATTAAGTGTTCAGTTGAGTTTATCATTTAGAATATTGATTCTGAGAACAATTTCAGTGAAATGGTAGAGCAAGAATCTAGGTAGCAGGTGGGTCAGATTATCAATGGAAGGTTTGCAAGTGGAGTATATAAGATACTCTTTTATTAAAGCTGATGTTTTTGTTTGTGCCGTAGAAATCATTGAACAAAGGATCGTTCAGTGTTAAAGAGAATTCTAACTTATTGATGTTAAGTTTTGTGTAGTCTACCATTCACTACATAAAAAAGGGATGGGAAATGAAAAAGATTTGTAGACCTTTAACTTAGAATAAAGATGGATTCCTTCTCACTAATGTTTACCTCTCCACTTGCAGTCTTCTTGTAACATATTCTTGGAGTAAGAACATTTATTGGGCCCCTAGTATGTGACAGAGACTATTTTATTTAACATCTATATATTGTATTAATCTTTTCTCTCTTTCCTACTGCACAATGTGATTGAAGCAAATATTTTCTCTGTGTCCTGTGCAAATAAATACTGTTTCTGAACTTTAGACTTTGTATATTTAACATCTATATATTGTATTAATCTTTTCTCTCTTTCCTACTGCACAATGTGATTGAAGAAAATATTTTCTCTGTGTCCTGTGCAAATAAATACTGTTTCTGAACTTTAGACTTTGTACACATTAAATGGGAAACGTTGCCCATCTTTAAGATTATAAGGCTTAAAGATAACATACAGAAACACCTAGTATTGAGTGTAACAGCCAGCAGATGCTTCTTAAATGTTATGTATTGTTTTACTGCCTGCTGTTGCCTTCTCTGCTGTTCCATTTAGTGACCATCTTAAGCAACTCTTTGATAATAAGATTCTTTACATCATAAACTACATTTTTAGGACTCAAAATGTGGCTTGTGAAGCAAAACCAATATGAGTAAATAAAAGTTTATCACAATTATTTCAAACCCTACTTTTTAAAAAAAAGCATCATCACCATTAACAAAAACTAATGAATTTTGTGAACTATACAGTAGTCCTGTGTTAATAACTAAGAATTAACCTGGAATATGTTTTGGAAGTTTTTCTTGTTTTTTTACTTGTGTGGCCAGTAAGCATTTAATTATACATTTTCATTTGTTTCCTACCATTACTTGTGATCTTTAGTATCACAAAAGCAGCAACAGCAGCAGCATGTTGTAATTAACACATTTGCTGTGGAGTGGCAAAAGTTTTTGGTACGTGACTTGATAGAATTATGATATTGGGGAAAATGACTTAACCTATCTGTGCTTTTCTTTCCTCGTTTGTATGTAAAAACAGTACTCATGTCTAAAGCTATTGAGAGGATTAGATGACTTTATACAGTCCTTAGAACCATGCCTGGTACATAGTATGCATTCAATAGATACTAGATGCTCCTACTGGTTTTGTTAATATTTCCTGTGGGACTTTTGGCAGTTACTTAGCCACACTAAGCTTCAGTTTCCTCATCTGTAAAATATATACATTATTGGTTACTGTAAGGATGAATAGGCATGATGTATAAAAGGGCACAGCATCCCCATAAATGTTAATTCATGTTACTGCTACTCTGACTAGCATTAGCAACAAGAGAGGTAGTGCTGGAGGTGGTGCTGCTCACAATGCTATAAAATTCTCAGTTCCATAAATCAGAATAAGCAGGTTAGCAGCATTGAATTCCCAGTAACAAAGTAGTTAAGAACAATGCAATTTTTTAAATCAGGAAATCCCACTCCTTTTATTTTTCAGACAGTGCTACAACAAGTACTTGAAGATGGCCCAAAATACGGAATAAAAAGTGAACTTTTCTCTGATCTTCCCCAGAAGAAGATTGTGGTCGAATTCAGGTGAGTGCCTACCCATCTTATGTAGTTATTAATTAAGCTGACTGGGCAGGTGAGTGTTTTAACATCATCGTTTGGGATCTCACTAAATTATACATGGAAAAATAGAAACCAGTGAGATTATATTATTTTATTTAAAATCAGTGAATCAATCAGTAAACCATGAGTAAAATGTCTAGTGATTGTAATGTTTTCTTTTCTTTTTTAATTAAGTATTTAACAATTACGTTTTTGGAAGAACTAGTTATTCATTTTAGTAGACTCCTAAGGCAGAGGTAATGGTTACTTACTACCATATTAAGAATTTTAACGTAATTCGAAGTAATGGTTACTACCACATTACGAATTTTAAAAGAATTTGAGAACAGAGACTTGTAGTATTTATAATATATTCTTTTTATACTACCAGAAAAAAGCCTTGAAGTTTTAATATGCCTCTAAATAGTCTTCATATAACTTTCTAATATGCTATCAGTATAATCATCTAATATTTAGAGTGTTTTGAGGTAACCAAAAAAGAAAAGGGAAGACTAAGAACTAACACTTTTATTGTACAGTTGATATTTTCATTGCACAGTTGACAGCTTGACAGCTCAAGAACATGATCAGAGATACTGTCTTTCTAAAAGCTGAAGAGTCTTAATGAACCGTTTTTCCCTTTAGAAAGATAGAAGTTGCTAGAGCCTTTTGTCTTCTTAAGCACTTATTTCTGTGGGGAGAATTTTTAAGCATTGATATGGAAAATTTTTCATTTTTACCAGCTCATTATTGTAATTTATGATAACTTAGTTATGATTAGCACCTGAATAATCAAAGACTATGTTTTATGGCTTCTGCATTTGTGCTCTCTGCCACTCACTCGTGTTCTTAGAAAAAACAGACCTGCTTAGCCTCAAACTCATCTGTTTATTTATGATAAGGACTGATTGCAAAGTAAGCTACTGCTTCTGTGGAGCAAACAGAATTATCAGTGAATCTTATACTGTCATTAAACCAAAATTAGGATATTTATTATTGGGTTTAAACATCTGTTGCATCACAAAGTCATACTCACACCAGAGTGGAACTACACTAAGACCATACCCCAAAGCTGCCTGTCTTCAGTGATCTCTTCTTCAATAAGAAGCCACTGCAAAGCTTATTACAGGGGCAAACTCCTGCCTGTGAGCAAAATCTATCACTTGTTTTTATTTGTTTGTTAGCAGCTGGCCTGTATGGGGATCTGAGCCCTTGACCTTGGTGTTATAACACCTCTCTCTAACCGACGCCACCTGTTTTTGTGAATAAAGTTTTATTAGAATGCAGCCGAGCGCATTCGTTTACATATCTACAACAGTTGAATATTATAATGGCAGTTGAGCAGAGCAGAGTTGAGTTGAATTGAGTAGTGAAGATAGAGACCAGATAGCCCAAAAGCTATCCGCTCAGTGCTGCTTCTACTTGCCTGAGGTCACTTAGGTAACTGGTCATCTGGAGACTTTACTGGGGCTAGAAATCCAAGGTGGCTCATTTACTTTTCTGGCCAGGCATATCTTTCTCTCTTTCTCTCTCTTCACATTGTCTCTCTAGTAGGGTAGCCAGAACTCTTTACAAAGGTGCTCAGGGCTCCAAAATAGTGATAGCATGTATCACTATCTTGGAACAGGCACAGCATCACTTCTGTCACACTCTTCTGATCAAAGCAAGTCACAAATAAGAGAGTTGGGATGAATCACCCAGATTCAAAGGAGAGGAAAATAGACACCAACTCTTAGTAGTAACAGTGGCAAAGGATTTTTGGTCATAATTATTTTCATTCGTGTCTTTAAGATGGTGAAGGACACATCATTTTCTTCTCCGGGGAGGCACTTCATTATCATATCGCTCTTAAACTCCTATTACCTAACCAGCAGGTAAAGGAAAATTGGTAGGGAGGCAGTATAGTATCTGTTATAATGCTTTCATCCTTGAAATAATGCCATTGTAAGTTTCTGGAAACTTGAAAATTTGCCACCAGAATTCACTTTTAACACCTTCTGCATTTCACTTTCACCATCCCTTCTCCCCAACTGAGCTCTCAAAATACCCAGACTTCAGTCTTCCTTACTCATTGATTCTCTGGCTTTTCTCCTAAGTTTGTTTCCCCATACTACTTTTTGTTTGTGCTTTTAAGAAATGTCTAAAAATATCCTATTCTATTTGAATTGTATTCTGTAGGCTTTTTGTGTGGTGCTTTATTTGCTTACAGATTTGCCCCTCTCAGTTTTTTCTAAAGCAGTTAAGGAAGGCAGGAATTTAAGTGAACATCCAAATGCTGATGACGGCACAGCCTGTTTCCTAGCAGCCATCTTTGCTCACTGATAGTTTCCATCTGGTATTGTTGTGGGACATTGCTACTCCCTCCTTTAGAAGTTTTCCAGATGCTGTACTGCTTATTGTCATGCTTTCAAAGTGGAGACAAACAGGTGGGGTGCAGGGTCAAAACTGATAGAAAACATTGTTCTTGAATGTCTTTTGAAAATGAGACAGGTGGGAAAAGAGAATTTTTTAAATACATAGTGTCTTGAATAGACCAGACAACTTTTTCCAAGAATGCAAAAGATATAACCACTGTGCTCAAGAAAATTTTCATCTAAATTGAGATGATGATGACGATGATGATGATGATAATAATAATAATAATAATTTCCCCAGGGTCATAGAGCTAACTAACTATGATTCTGAATCCTGTACTTAACTCTTACAGGCTCCTTTGTACATAGCATAGGTTGTCACGTATTTTTCCTTACCTAGGAGCAGTGTGATAAAGTACCAGGGTTGATGGCTGTTATGAGCTTGGACTCTACCTGATAGATGGTGTAAAACTATGGGTCAACTACTGTCGCCCCTCTCCCTGCAAACTCACCCTTTACTGTTTCATACAGATTGAATTGGCAGGGGCACAGCAGTGGTAGCCTTTCCTCTTTTTTCTTCAGCATGATCTTCCCCACCCCCTGCTTTTCCCAAATGTGAGGTACTCTCATCAACCAAATTTGAGACCTCTGGTAAAATGGAATTTGAGAGGTAAGGTCAGCAGTTCTGTTGGTAACTGAGTCAGTAACTTGAGTGAGATAGTTTATTTCTTTGGTCTCTCCTATGGTTTGTATGTCCCCTCAAGCTTGTGTTGGAACTTAACCCCCAATATGGTGCTGGAAGGTGGGGCCTTTAAGAGGTGATTGGATTTTGAGGACCATGTTTCTGAGTGGATTGATCCATTTGTGGAGTAAGGGGTTAATGGTTTAATGGGTTGTCATGGGGGTGGGTCTGATGGCTTTATAAGGAGAGCTAGTAAGAAAGTTAGCTCTGTTGCTCATGCCATTCTCACCATGTGACACCTTGCATCACTGAAGAAAATCACCACCGAGAAGGCACTCACCAGGAGAGTTCCCTGGACCTTGGACTTCCCAGCCTCCAAAACTATAAGAAATAAATTTCATTTCTTTATCAGTTACCCATTTCAGATATTCTGTTAAAAGCAACAGAAATTCACTAATACAGTCTCTTTTCTTATCTGCAAAATAAAAATAATAATATCTGTCTTTTCTTAAAAGATTGAGGAAATAACATTAAATCATTTAACAAAAGTGCTAGTGAAGTGTCCAGCTGTAATTTATAGTGGCTACTTTGGTTGTTAAAGGAATTGAATTTATATTTTCCATTTCATTTTATTTTCTTTTCAATAGGAATATGGTGCCAGAAAATGGCAAATTGATAAATTCAAGGAACATTTTGTCAAGGCTTAAATACCTAGATAGATTCAGTTCTTCTAATCCTGGAAGAAAACTACAAAATTCTGTGAAAGTTGTTTTTTCTTTTTAACAGATATATTATAAATAACTAGTTTTTAGAAATTGAAAGACTGCAAGAGGGTATTCAGTGAAAAAGAAGTCGTCCTATCCCAGTTTCCCAGTTCTCTCATATGGGCATCCACCTATATCAGTGTCTTGTTTACCCTGCTAGAGATATTCTGTGCATTTATAAACAGACCACACATTTTATACGTTGTTCTACTCCTTGCTTTTTTTCACTAAGCAATGTATCTAATGTTCCTTTAATATTAATACATCCGGGGCTGACTTATAATTTTTATTTTTTCATAGTATTCTGTTGTCTGGGTATTCTTTTTTTCCTCCTTAAATTAGTTTTATTGGGGCCGGCCCGGTGGCGCACTGCTACAGTGCGCTGCTTGGGAGTGTGGTGGCGCTCCCGCCGAGGGTTCGGATCCCACATACAGACCAGCGGCTCACTGGCTTAGCGAGGTGCGGGTGCAACACCGAGGGTTGCGATCCCGTTGCCGGTCCTGGTCCGGTACGGGCGCGACACTGAGGGTTGCGATCCGTTGCCGGTCACGAAAAAAGACAAAAAAAAAGGAAAAAAAAAAATTAGTTTTATTGATGTGTAATTACATATAATACAGTACAATTCATCATGTTTAAACAGTAATTGTAATTTGATGAGTTTTGGCAAAGGTGTGCAGGTTGTGTAACCAATTATGGTATGGAACTGTTTCTCTAGGGGTTTCCCCCGCCTTATTTTATTGATTTTTTCTTTTCTCTATATTATTTCCTTTTATTCTGCTTACCTTGGATTTAGTTTGCTCCATTTTTTCTAGGTTTGTAAAGGAGAAGCTTAGATTATTGATTTGAAGCCTTTCTTCTCTTCTAATGTAAACATTTTGTACTATAGATTTTTCTGCTTTAGCTGCATCTCATAAATTTACTAGTAAAGCAGTAACGTGCCACAGTTACAGCAGGTAAAGCAGTAACGTGCCACAGTCCTGGGCTCATCTTGTTTGTTCTCATTCTCTCAGAGATCACAGTTTTTCATTGCCTGTTATACAGTATCATAAAACCAGTGTTTCACATATTTTTCTGGTTTCTGCTTGTGTGAAGGCAGAAGGGTAAATTCAGTCCTTGTTATTTTTTTTTGGCTGGAAATGGAAGAGTCCTTATTTTTTTAAGCCTATAGAAGGACATTTTCTTTCTAAATAATAATTAAATGAACATCTTTGTAGCTTCATAATTTCATAATTGTGTGTACATATCTGTAGCATCAAGTTTTTAAATTGTAACTCTTGAAATGCGTTTATAACAAGGCTTTGGAGACAGGTCAGAATTTAAGCTCTAATTTTATCACTTTTAACCAGCTATGTTCAAATTAATTCATCTAAACATACACAAAACAGAGAGAAGAGTGTAATTAATCCCCAGGTGCTCAGATGCAAGTCATCATATTACCACATTTGCTTCCTCATCTCTTTTCATTGTTGTCTTAGTTCCCTCATCTGTAAAATAAGAGATGAGTACCTTCCCTCACTGCTGTTATGAGTATTACATGAGTTAAGGTATGTAAAGTGCATGAAACTGTGCCTGACAGGTAGTGAGTGCTCTAGAAGCATTTGCTATAGTTCTATGATTGATTACAACTTCTCGAGCACACACAGGTGTGATAAATGTGTCAGTTGAGAATTTGGAGTGGTAAATCAAATTTCTGATTATCCCCGGAGGTTTTATGCATAAATATTTTTACATTTTCAATTTTAATTTCTGATACAGTAAATATTAGCAGACATTACCCATATGAACAAAATTTCTTTAGGGTCCTCAGTAATTTTTAAGACGATAAAAGTTTTGAGAACTGGTGCACTACACTTAATTTCCAGTTATCTATGTCGTTTTTGTCAAAACAATATCCCTGAATTTCTTCATCTTTTTGTCAGTCCTTAAATATATCTGCTTCATAAATGTGCCACTTCTGTGTGTGTTACCACTTCATGAGTCATAGGATCAGTCTCACTAAGATGATTGTTTTCTGAGTTCTAATTTATCTTTGCTCTGAATTTCTAATTTTTAGCTTATCTTTGCCCTAAATTATTAAAGGCCCTAGTCCCCAATTATGTGAAACTATGGAGGCATGACCTAGTTCATTCTTAGAACTTTTGTCCTTAGAATAAAAAAATAACTTCTGCCAATTTTTTGCAGTTCACCTAATGTTGCCAAAAAATTTCATGTTGGACATTTGCGTTCTACCATCATAGGTAAGTGTTTAGTTTCACAGAAAATACTGAACATATCTTTGGGGAAGTATTTGATAATACAATTTAATGGTTTAGTGCTAAAGTAACAAAAGGACAAAAACTTTAGAATTGATATGAACCAATTAAATCTTACATGAAACAGGAAAAATTGATTTAGAAATGGAAAAAGGAAATTCATTTCAAAACTAAAAGATTAACTCAGTAATTGGTTTTAACTAGTATGTGTGTTATGATTTTAATGATCTAAAAGTGTGTATGCATATGGAGAAGAACTGAAAGATGCAAAAATAAAAATAGTTATGTGAGCATGATAGCAACCCTCCAGATTTTTTTTGTTCACGTACTATATTTTGTCTTAAAAAAGCAACTAACCTCTCAGTCATGGGAGCAATAACTGGAATGTTCAAGACTGGAAATTAAAACCAGACTATTCTAATAAAGAGAGATTACCATAGTACTTCATGGCTGTAATGCTTCTTCAGTATATAATATACTTATGATTTTTGTTTATTTCAAATATGACATTATGCAGCAGCCCAATTTAAAAACTGAAATTAGAATTGTATAATATTAGAATTGGAAGGGACTTTGAAGTTTATCTCATCTAAGGTGTCTTCCAGTGTAGAAATCTGTCTGTTGTATATTTTAGAGATAGTCATTTAATCTGTACTTGAATACTTTCAAGAATTGGAGAAATTAGTACTTATGGAATAGATTATTATTGAAATGGTGTTAGCTCTTATTGTTACAAAGTTCTTGAGCAGCATTTTAAGAGAGAAAATGACAGGATTTGATGAAAAAGCATAAGACAGTGCTCTGTAAGAAAAGCCACATGAGTAAGTCAAAAGGATAGGAGTGAAGTGATGGGTAGAGCACGATGAAGTAATTTGATGGTTAAGGGAAATATTTAGATCAGGAAGAGGTAATATTTATTGAGAACTTACCATGGTACATGTTTTCATGTGTTATCTCATTTAATTTCACAACAGCCCTGTTTGGTAAGTACTGTTAATAACTTTGAAGAAATTCAGATGCCAAAAGTAACTTTCTTAAGATCACATGGCTAGTAAGTATGGTAGCCAGGATTTGAAATGAGGCATTTTAATACCAAAAACCTAGGTTCAGACATTTAATTGGATTTATGAGATAACAAGGTGCTAAGAAAAAATAGGATTATAGTCTGAGTACCAGTTGAAGAAGGTGTTTCCTATTGCTGGGACTATGTAGACTGGCAAAGTCTAGAAGTAGGGCAGCTGGAAAAGAAGGTAGCTGCAGTAATTTAGGTGAGGAATGTATATTGATGAGGGTTTATTTGCAGAAAATTAAATCCATTTTTAGTAAAAGCAGAAACGGATTTATTACAGGATATTGAATGGTTTACAAAGTTATTGGGAGAGCTGAAGAATCTTTGGATTAAGCTTACGTAAATGACTCCCGAAACTGCCCCATAGAACTTGGTCATCAAGGGAGCTCCTGCCTCCTCTGCAGTCATTTCCACTGCTCCTGCTACACTGCTACTGCCACAATCAGGAAACTGCCAGTGCTCCTGCCATGACTTCTAGAATCCATACAGGCCAAAGAGGCAGCCCCATAGCCTGTCTTTCAGTTCCTTGGGAGGTGACAGCAGGACACTAGGACCTGTGTTAGTGGTGCCACATACACACAAAAACCTTCACAACTGTGCTTATCAGAAAAAATAGAAGTAGTTTCTCTTCTAAATCTCACACAAACTGTGTCTGATTGTCCAAACCTACATGACTTCTAGAGCCCTATCTGCAAGAGACTCTAGGAAATGTACTTTTTAGGTTTTCAGCTTCTGCAGTATATGAGGGCACACTAGAAGGCGAGTGAAATAGATGTTGAATGTCAAACCAGCCTCAACAGTACAAGAAGGTGAAGGCCTTGGACTACTCTCCATGCTGTTAGGGAGCAGGATGAGCTTTAGTGATTGAAAGGAGATAGAGTGAACTATTTAGGAAACAAAACAAAACACAGCAGTGTGGTTTAGGTTCTTAGGGTACAAACAAATTAAGTATTTCTTGTTGATTATTGAGATTCTGTTATTTTCTGTCTCTCACATTGACTAGGAATAGCAGTTACTCTAACATTGTTCCCAACTCTTATTAGTAATGCTGATGAAAATTCTGTTCTTATAAAAACTGTGGATTCTTTAGAATAACTGTCCTAGAAGTAATTTCTTACTCCCTTTTCATAAGAAAGATGAAAACACAATGATGAATGATGTAGTAAAACAAAAAATAAATCAGTAAATTTTGTAAAAAGGATTTTTCTTTGTTATACTTTGATAATAGAAGAACATGTTCCTTATACCAAAATGGATAACAAGAATGAGAAACTGTATCTTATTGATTACTAGGAAATTTTATAGCAAATCTCAAAGAAGCTTTAGGACATCAAGTAACAAGAATAAATTACCTTGGAGATTGGGGCATGCAGTTTGGTAAGAATGTTTGAGATTTTATTTTTTCATTTTATTGTAAAGTTTAATTTTTTAAAATATCGTGTCACTTGATCATCTGTTCAGAATATAGGCAGGATCTCATCAGATGAAGTAGTACATCCTACTATTTTTTCCTAAAGGCTCTTTTGCATAAAATTTTACATTTTATTTATTAGAGTAATTCTCAGCACACAAGTAAGTTTGGAGGAAGGAAACTTTACACATTCAGAGGAAGACCTGATATTCATTAATTTGCTAGTTAAATGTGTTTTTAATAATTTATTAGTTAAACGTAGAAGTGACTATACAGGGAAGAAGTGAATCTAGCTATATACACCCTTTTCAACTACAACCCTGCCATTTTTAAATCTAGTGAGTTCCAGCCTCCTTGGGCCATCTTACATGAAGTGGGATCTGTTATCATCACGTAGACCAGTGCTCAGAGGGAAAACAAAGTGCAGTACTTTGGTTTACTCTTTAACTGTACTAACACTGGGGTTGGGAGGTGTTAAAAGGAAAAGAAATGAAGAGAGGAGTGAGGTCCAAGTAGCTGAGTGCCACAGATTAATGTCATGGTTTTATTCAGAATCATTCCTACCTCATTTAAACCAGTAATCAAGGTGTGGGAGGACTAGGTAAATGAAGTTGCTATGGCAGTGAAGGACTGGTTGCATGTGAAATACAAACTTTTAAAAATCTCTGGCAACTATCATGTGGAATTTAAGATCCAGTCCTAGTGTTACTTCTATAAAGCGTTCTCTGACACACAGATAACACCCTTGCACTCCTTCTCAATGCCGAAGTTTTTAGTAGCCAGCTCTACTCAAATAGGCTTTTATCTTATGTGTATTCTTATGTGTGTGCTCCTCTCCCTTGCTAGATGATATGTTCCTTGAAGGCAGGGACTGTCTTAATTATTTTTACATCTGCAATGCTTGGCTCATAAGAGGCACCCAGAATGATGAATGAATCTATTCTAGGAAGTGTTTCACAGTACTAATTCAGAAGAAAGGCTAGGTAATATTTTAAAGCTTCTATAAAGTGTGCAGTGTGCATTGTCATTTTTAATTTCGCTGACACTATTGTGTTCACTGATACTATTATGTTCACTGAAATGAAATTATAATTGCCCCAAAAAAGGCCTTTACATTTGAAGGAATTTTTTTCGTAAGAGATTTATCATGGCCTCTTATTATAAATATTATCCTAAAAAGGGTAGAACTTGAGCCCGTTAACAGTACCTTTACTGCACACTGTGGGAGAATCAGAAAATATGCCCTGCATTTCAAAAATCCAGCTGTAGTTCAGAACAGTTGGTAGTCAGAGGTTTAGGCACTAGGCTCAGTAGTCAAATTTAGTAGATGACATCCACTTTATATTAGTTTGACCAATTTAGATATTTTGCAGGCATTATCAAATATATGATTATGGTATTAAGCTTTAGCTGCAGGATTTTATTATAGCGGTTTTTCTACTATGATTAATGATCTGTCAACATTTCCATTATAACCATCATTATTGAAGAATTATAATTTTAAAATCAGCAGACAGTTCCTAAGCACAGAATTTGTTTTTGAAAATGTATTAGATTGAATGTTAAATGGAAATGGCCTTTACTTTTCTCATTTGTCTTTTAGAACACTCTGGGCATCTTTCCACACCCTGCTCCCAAGACCCTGAATCATAATCACATTTGCTCTTGCTTTAAAGTGAACAGAGCTTCTGGCATCCTTCTCATTCCTAAGTCCCAGAGTATTGTATATCTCCGGTGTTCAGTAGCATCCCATTTTCTGCTGAGGTTTGTATAGAAAAATGTACATCAGCAAGGCCCTTTAGATCAGAAGCTTGGTAATTGATATCGTTGTAGAAAAAGAGTGGTTTTTAAAATAATGAAACTTCTAAAAAAAAAAGCTACTTATTACTTCTCTTGGCCCAGGATGCATATATCCTTTTAAACTGAAATTATGATAATCTTTTGGCAAAATATCTTGAAGGTAAATATCCATATCCTACTTTACAAACCTCAGTAAGTTTTTTTAAAGGTTCATATTAACACTATCCCTGAACTCTGTACTTATCAACTGCTGAAAAAGTATACATGGCCAAATAAAAGAATTTTGTTGCTTGGTTATCTTGAATGGGAAAAGTGGTCAGGGATATTTCAAGTTTTATCTTTCTTTTTTCCTTCAATTATTTGAGAACTAATACTATAATAACAAGCTCATTCCTACCTTTGTATTATTTTAACACCTACAAGCTTAAAAAGAAAGTTTGAAGTCACTTCCAATCAGTTTTTCACAAATTTTGAGTGCCTAGTGCCTAGCATAACGTCTTTTCACAAAGTAGCTGCTTAATAAATGTTTGTTTTATTAATGTTGGCTAGAGAGGTGTTGGGCACTGTTAGTGCAAAGTTAAATTAGTCCTAGACCCTGCCTCTGATGAGCTCATAATCTATTGGTTTCTGTGAACTTAATTTCAGTGATCTATTCAATATATTGAATTTGTGATTCAATATGTTGAATTTGACTTGTGTTAGTTTTATGGGGTAACAGAAGGAGAAAGCATGTGTTTTGCAGTATTTCTCAGGATACATAATTATGAGAGGTTGATCTTTTTAAAGAACTATACCTGTTTCCTGCCATGACTGTTCTCTAATGTTCCATTTTATAATTTTTTGTTTATGGACTATCATGGTAGGTCTCCTGGGAACTGGCTTCCAACTATTTGGCTATGAAGAAAAACTCCAGTCCAATCCTTTACAGCATCTCTTTGAAGTAAGTTGACAAGAAACTATTAGAAAACAAGCGTTTTTTCAGAGTACTCTGCAGCTTGGTAACACATTTTTAATCTCAGAGGTTTAAAAAATAAATTCTTTAAAACAAGGAACCAAAATATAATTGAAAATGTTGCTTTTATTTTACCAGGGTCTTCTTTGCATTTCCAAATCCAGATGTTTCTTTTATTACTATTTTAGTTGATTTGGGACAGTATTTCTCTAGAATCTTTTTAGAGTAAACACACAGGATAACAGATTTGACACAGAGAGGAATTTATCCATTTTTTGTCAGTTGATATATACTGCAGCTTTCTTCATGGTGATAACTATAAATTCATTTAGACTTGAAAAACATAAATATGTATCTTTTTGCTCTTTTTTGGGTGTCGGGGAAGGCATATGCTTTTCTCTCTGAATTTGTGTATGCTTTTTTCATTTATATCTTTCAGCTCATTTTCCTGGCTATTACCTAATGTGAACTCTTTTCTGTTCTACTTCATTAAGTCCCATGTATTCCTTGCTTCTCTATCATCAGTCCTGCCTGGAGTTCATTAATTAAGCTCTTCCTGTGCAAGTAATCTTCAGGGATGTGTTTCCTTTCCATTGTCCCAGTTGTTCTCTCTCCTATTTCTGGGCCACACAAAGGAAACACAGATATAATGTCAGCAGTATTGGAGACATACCAGGGGATCAGAAAGAATAAAGATGTTTTGCCAGTATATGAGGAAGAACACTTGCCAAACTAATGCTTTACTTCTCCAGCTAAAGCCATTGAGAGAACTTCATCATTTTCCTTTTTGTTACATGATTTTTCTCCTGCAGCTGACTTTGCAATTAAGTTGACCAAAAACACATTCTAATTCTTAAAGACCTTTAAAGGTTTGTCATTTCCTCCTGAGTCCATGCCTGTACTACACTTTAAATGCCTACATTTTGATTTATTCTGTTAGCCAAAAGATTTCTTCTGTCTTTCCCATTAGGAGTTTTATTGATAAGTAAGAGTTTAAAAATTAATAACTCTTTATGGTTGTCTATGAATAAATTATGCCCTCTTACTTTTTTTTTACACTTTGAATAATGTATTTTTTACCACAAGCTTAGCAAACCTTTCTTCAGATCCAGGCCCACAAAGACACCCCATGGCACAGGAAATACAAATAACTACTTGTGTCATTGATTTAGAGTACAGCTTGAGATACAAGAGTACTCTTACCTTTCTCCTGTCCTAGCTCAAAAGTTTTAATTTAATCCTACAAGTAGTGAATCTGTTTCCTATAATATTTAAATATTTAAGTAAAATCTCTTCTCAAACTTTATAGAGACCTGAGTATATGTTCTTTCTATGCAGTTTAATATAATTTCCTTCCTTTTGAGATTCATAAAAATAATGGGAGATCAACATCTATGTTAGAAGTTGTTAATTGATGGATGCACATAAGGAAAGAAGAAGGGCAGGGGGTACTTCTCCTATGAATGGTTAAAAAGTCAAGGAATAATGCTGTTGCTTTCATTAGTGTTCTTTTGCCTAATAGCTTTGCAAGGAAGCAGCATTTATAGACAAAAGTGTGCAAGTCAGATACACCTACCTTGCTGTTTGTAATAGAAGACAGAAGTGCATTAGAGCACTCCCCTGGTCTCTTCCTCCTTCCTTTGCAGGACAGAGAACATGCAGGGCCTCAAATGGCAGCCTCCAGGTTATTATATCTTTATGCTAATTTTTGCAGACCCAGTTTTTATTTTAAAATTTCAGTTGTCACTGTGGATTACTTTCAACAACAACTTTTAGCAAAATTGAGGAATTTATTTTTTGAGCTTTAAGCAAATGTTAATAGATGATGTTATTCTCAATGTTCCTGAAAGTAAATCTGAAAGTCATATAAACAACTGAGTTTATTTACTAGTTGAAAGATGCTCTTGCATGCCCTACAATGTCGGAGATGGCATAGGTAGTAATACAGAATATCTCCATCATCGTTTAAGGTAACCAGTGTAGGTAACCAAAAAGTCAGAGATAGTAATTCTAGGCTTGGTAAGTGTTTGGTGTATTGGTAAATAATGGCACTGGCTGATGAGAAGTAGAACTTTAGAATAATCTGCATTTATCCTTTGTTTATTTGTAAAAAATCAATTTCTCAAAGCTGTTGAGAGGAAGGACCATATCTTCCTGATCTTTTATCACCAGCCCCAAATTCCATGCCTGGCAGTAAATGTTTGAATGGATTTGATCTTATAATTCTCTTTTGCCCCTTTCTCTATTTTTAAGTTGTGGAATATATAACCTATTGTTAGTCCAGGGAAAGACTAACTATTGTAGGATACACTAATTACCATTGATCAGAGTCTAACTTACTTTATTAACCCAGTCTACTAACAAAGAACCCAAGGGCCAGACCCAAGATTCTGACATAGACAGTCTGGTTCCTGAAGAGCTCTGTGCACTACCCTGCACCCCGCACCCCCACCCCCTACTCTACAAAATGCCTTTCTGAGCCATTCATTTCCATTAGTTGTAATTATATATATATGGCATATTCCTTTCTTTCATCCCCCATTTGCTTTTCCAGGGACACAATCAGTAGTTCGATTTTGGCAGTTTCAACCTTCTGGCATTATTTGTTTTGAATTTGGCTTAGATCATCCAGTGGCAGATTTTGTGGCCTACCTGCCTCTAAATTGTGCAATGGTTAGTATCTCCCAGTTTCAGTTTCTCAACTAGGTTAGAAATAATATTATACGATAGCTTTAGCATTTCTTTTCTGTGATGAAAATATTTAAAACCCACAGTCCTTTCTCTGCCACTTTTCCATTTTGGTGCATATGATTCACTACTGGTTTTTCTCTATAGGTATACCTATAGTTATTCTTTTGCCATGACATCTGGCTGTGTTGTACATGGAATTAGGACTTTTGTTGGCCAACAATTGGAAACTTTTCTTTAATCGTTCTAATTTGTTTGTTTCGGTCATAAGACATGGAAGTAATTTTGTAATAGTTCCCTCCTCCTCCTGAATTGGCTGATGAATTAAATAACTAATATATTTGTTGTTTAGAATTCTCACTAGTGATTCAAGGAAAACATTTGTAATAAGTTTTGTATACTCAAACTAGTAGATGCCCTGGGAAGGCAATCAACATTAGGGCTAATAAAAAGCTTGAATAGTATAAAAGGGCTGGAGGAGGTATTGTAGAACCTTTCTAGCACTTATGAGAGGTAAATTAACACCAATTGCTAAACATAGAAACTGGATAAATTTCAATATTCATTTAGAAATTAATTTTATGATGCTGTCCTAAGTATTAAAATACAGGTTATACTTAAATCATTCAAAGTTTGGCATGTTCACACATGTGCACAAAGTATTTGATAGATATTTACACACTGGGAGACACAATTATGGTCTGACTTTGGAGTTTTGGCAGATCTGGGTTCAAATTCTGGCAAGTTTCCCTACTAGCTTTTTTTGGGTGCGTGTGATCCGAACCCTCGGGCGGGAGCGCCGCCGCGCTTCCCAAGCGGCGCACTATCCAGTGCGCCACCGGGCCGGCCCCCTGAAAAATAATTTCTTAAGGTAAAAAGTTAACCATGTATTAAACCTGAATCATGGGTATATAGGTGTCATTATTTACTTTAATCTGTTTTAATAATACTTTTTAAAAGTAACTTCTCAGGTTTCCTCCTAGATTTAAACTATTTGAATAGACTTTGATAACATCTAACATGGTACCTTTAAGTATATATAACCACTTTTTTTATTTTGCTACAGATTTTCAAACTTGACTCGTTGCATGTTGCTTATTAATATGGATTTTGATAACCATAGAAATTCATCTGAAATATAAGGGCAGCCTCTCAGAAGAGATAAATATCATGTCAATAAATTATGCATTAGCCCTATATCCTAGCACTGGCATTTATAAAGGTAACACAATGTCTTGACACAAGTAGTATAAATTTTTTCTAAGTTCAAAATAACCCCTGCAGATTCTATATCATTATTTCTACTCTTCCCCTTTCTAAAAGGATCTTAGGTAATTGCAGTGATGAGCATTTCATAAGAGAAATAGAAAGTCAGGAGATAATGTATCACTAGTTTAATATTTCATAACAGATTTGACCCTGAGCTTCCCTATATCAATACCCACCCCCCAAAAAAGTAATAAGTAGAAAAATAGGGTGAGATCAAAGCATGATTTGATGAGTGATAATGTTTACTTGCTCTTGTTTTTAAAAACATGGAACTACTAGTATATATTTTTCAAGAGACAATGTTTTTCCTGACTTTAGATTCTCAAAACAATTTCTCAAGCTTGAGTAAAGAAAATAATTCAAGACTAAATCATTCTAGTCATATATAGAAATACTTATGCAGTTAGAAATTTTTATTTTATAAAAAGTTGTATTCAAGATTTCTTTATTGGTTAGGTCACATTTCTATTTTCAGGGAATGTTATTATTATTGTTAGGGTAAGCTTTGCTCCTTAATAACACTTTTATGGAAGAAATTGCTCATAAATTAAAGGTCTAATTAAATCTGACCCCAGTGAGCACTTTTGAGAGTGGTGAAAGTCAGTTTAAGACATTATTGAGGATTCTGTACCTCCCAAATCACACAAAGTTCCCCATCCCGTCTTCTCTGCATCGCAGGATGGTCATAGAGGACTCTTCTTGTCTTCAGTCCACACTGGTCCCTAGATGCTTAATATCCTAGCCTACATGATACCTCGGAGGCATGCAGCTCTGCTGGTGTGACAGACTTCACCTGGGAGGTCCTTGTTGTGGCCCAATTTCGTAGGCCTGCAGGCCAGCCTCCCTTGTAGGCACAGTGTGAACCATTTCCTTCTGAGGGCCTGCTAGCACCATAGGGGCTGCCCAGCTTCTGCTATACCCAGGAGTGTTCCCCATCCCTTCCCCAACCGAGGCAATTCTCCTTTCTCCTATCCTGGTAGTTTCTCCGCTTTGCCATTGCCCCCAACTGTCCTCTCTCAAGCCACTAGCCTTTCTACTTTATCCCTGTTTGTCTGGGACAACACTACTGTGTTTCATTGTCCTCTGAGTCCGCTTAGAATGAGGTTGGAAATACCTAGCAAGAACAAAGTGCACATTAATAGCTCAGTAAATATCTTACCCCACTGAAATGTGCAAAAAATACATTTTTCAGCAATGTTATGCTTATTAGGCACTAGTGCATGGTGATCTACAAGGAGTTAGTAGTTACCACCCATGAATAAAGATGTAAGATATCATGGATGTGATTATATATGCACAGAGAATAAATATACAAGATTCCCAATACTAAAAGAAGATGAATGGAGGGTAAAATACTGTTTATATGCTACTCATGATGTATTAAGGAGGAGAAATTTGATAATTAATCAGTTTAAATGAGTTATTTTTTTACCTAATAGTTTTGACTTTATTGATATATTAAATTTCAATTATATAAATTTGTTTGAATTTTTTTATTTTATTTAACATTAGGAATCTGTCTCAACCAGCAGTTCTCTAAGAAATTTCTGATCAAGGCATGAAACTGCATTAAATAATGAACTTATTGGTTCAAATTGTAACCATGAAATTTGTTACTTGTTCTTTTCTAGACAATGAGGTGAAAATTTAATGCATTTTAAGATTGAGGACACATAAATATATAGATAAATGGTTCTACGGTGTCCAAGTTATGTTTACCATTCTTAGCAATTATTCTCAGTATTAAGACACAAATGACCAGAGATGGAGTTAGAGTCCTGAACCAAGGAGTTAAACTATGCCTATGTGGTTAATTGTATTCTAGCATCAAATTTAAAGGATTGGGAGTAAGAGGGCATTGTCCACTACTTTTATTTTTCATGCGTGGTTCTTTACCTTTGGGCAGATCATCCCAAAAGTTGGCTGTAATTATCTTAATAAATTAAAATTGAAATAAAATGTCACACGTTCTTTGGCAATCCCAATATCTAGAAATAGTGAAGAATAGAATTGAAATAAGGAAGGTTCAAATTCCTTTAAGAAAATCTAAAACATTTAGTTTATTGCCTAATGGAAATATGACTGGTTTTTTCATTCTAGTAACTAAAGGAAAAATTGGGTTTTCATTCTCAAAAACACTTTACTAAGCCATATTGTCTTATCAAATCCAAATTTAAAATGTCCTTTTTATTCTTTTGTGTCTACATCTAGCCTCAAAAGGAAGCTATCTTCAACATGCACACTTTTTAAGGGTAAAAGTTTCATGGTAACTGTAAATTAAAACTGTCTATAATTTCTGAAGTACATAGTATTAAGTTTATGTATAAGGAAAAGACATTTCTAAAATGGTGATAAATGTTAATAATTATAGTTTTATATTGTACATTTACAGGCAGATTGTTAAGTGCTTATTAAGAAGCTTTAGTGTCAGTTGATTTTCAATAATTTTGTTTTATAACTACAAATTGCTGAAATGCCAAGATTATTCAGGTATTAGGAAGGTTTCATTTTGTTTTATTTCTATTTTAAACTTTAAAAAGGAAAAAGGGTTTTGGTAAAGTTTTTTTCTAAAAATATTCATATCAGTAACTTGAATGCATAATAGATTTTTAAATGTTTCACTATTTGGGTTTAAAGTCCTAGATTAAAAAAAAAATTAACGCCTTTTATTTTCTGAAAATAAAGACATTTTGTATATGTTTGCTTATAAATTGTGTATGCACATGTATGTGTATGTGTGAGAGAGAGAATCACAAATGATTTGTAGATGCGTATGTATTTACTTACTTCTGTAGGCTGGACTGTTAAGCAGTTGTCAATGGGTAGGTCATTCAGAGGTCAGGAAGCCTGCAGTTTACTGTCTTAAGGGACCCTCTGTTTTCCCATACCTTACCCAAATCTTTTTTCTGTTTTCTAACTATCTTTGTATACAATATTCTGGACTTATTACTAGGACCCACGTGGAAATTTATTTTTTATGATATGCGTCAGTTGTCCCCAAGACCCATCCCCAGGTTCAGTGATTGGCTTGGAGGACTCATCGGACTCAGTATATAAATTGACTCGTAGCTGCGATTTAATACAGTGAAAGGATACAAATCAAAATTAGCAAAGGGAAAAGGCATATGGGACGAAGTCTAGAGGAAACCAGACCCAAGCTTGCAGAAGTCCTTCCCAGTAGAGTCACACAGGATGTGCTTAATTCTTCCAGCAACAGATTGTTACAACACATGTGAAATGTTGCCTACTATGGAAGTTTGTTAGATACTCCATGTCCGGAGGTTTTTATTTGGAGCTGGTCATGTAGGCACTGTCTGCCTAGCACATACCAAATTCCAAACTCTCAGAAGGAAAGCAGGTGTTCTGTATAAATCATATTGTTTGCATAGTTTAGGCACAGTGAGCCACTTTTATCAGTTAGGCTGGTGGAAACATTCCCCAAATCCAAGTACCTAGATGCTAACCAATGGCCAACCTTCTAATCAGGATTTTTTACTTTTTTTTTTTCTTTTTTCTCTAGGCAGAACATTTTAAAGACAGCAGCCTCAGGTCTGCTATGTTAACTGTTTTCTGCACAATGTGACTTAAAGAGAAAAAAATTAGGTAATTTTAACCTTTATTTAGCAGTATTTATTCATTCAAGTCTGCCTTTCCAGTAATTAACACAAACCATCTGTGAAAGGTGAAACATTTTTACCTGGAGATAGATGTTTAATGCCCTGTCCCTTTTGGTTGTAACTAGTGGGTATAAGCCAATGTACTCTCTAGCAATAAAATCATTCTTTTCTACCCAAATGCTGCTGCCATAGTATTTTGATGATATTACTGTAAGAGTTTAGAAGCCTCGTTTTTTTTAGTTTATTTACCAGTTTTTAATGCTACTTTAATAGCTTTCTGGAAATAGTATGATGAATTTGTCATTCATGTTTCAACCGAGAAATGAGTTACAACTTTGTTGGGAAAATAGAATAGTTTGGTCAGGTGCACTTGCCTCGGGGCAGGTTGGGAGTGGTGCAGCATTCTTTGTGGGCAGGTTGTGTGTGGGTGGAGTTAGTGTGCATGCGCGGCACCAGGGCTTGGCTGGCGTCTGCCTCGGGGGCTGCCAGCCACAACCAAGCTCTCAAACCTACGGCTCCAAGGACCTCTCGGCCGGTTACCTAGCTCATAGACCTGCGTGTGTGAGGGGTCTGGGGACCCAGCCTGGCATGTGAAGGGTTTGTGACCCAGTCTGGACACTGGGCTTGAGGGGTCTGTGAGCTCCAGACCCAGCCCTAGCTCGACAAGCTTGTAAGTAAAGCTCGACAAGCTTGTAATCCATATGCATAACTTAAGTACTACATGAAGTATGATGTTGATATTTTAATGTCATTTATCAACATTGTACTTTGGAGACTGGAAAATGATTAAATATGCATTGGGAACATAATATCCTAGAACTGGAAGATTGAGCCCTTAATAAACTATCAACTCCACCCCAGTCATTAGGTGGGTGCAGAACTAAACCAGCTAAGATGTCTGGTGCTAAAGACACTCCAAAAGTGAGTGCTGCACAGAGTTTCTAGGAGCACAGGTTTGAGTGTGATTAAGCCACCTACCCGAAGGTCTATCTTACATTTTACCAAGATAACCTGTTTTATTGGTCTTTAACAGATTGAAAGAAAATCTTTCATTAATACAACTGCTAAATCATTCTTTGCCCTTTTTTTGTCAGATTGAACCATTCTACTTTCTTCAACCTTTCTCAGAGAAGTTGTAGGAATAGTAATTTTAAACTTTGAAAAATAACAGAAGAAATATCACCTTAGTCTAAACCAGGCATTCTTAGCCTAGGAGTCTATGAACTTGGATGGGAAGAAAGTTAAACACTTTATTTTTACTAACTTTTATCAGAAATTGAGTATTTTCCCCCATTGTTATATCCCAGATTAATTTTTAAAAAATATTTGGATAAGTGTATTTCAATGTAATTATTTCCTCTGTAATCCTATGTATTTTATTTTATGCATTTAGAAACATTTTGAGAAGGGGTCTATAGGATTCATCAAGGGCCCATGGCAAAAAATAGAAAGAAAGAAAGAAAAAAAAAAAAAGGTTACACTCTGTAATGGGGCCACTTGGCTAACTTTTAAATGGGAATCCTCAGAATTGTGCTTTGCTTCCTTTTCCTTATTGAAGATAATGGTGTCTGGAAATGCTCTTCATTTAATGTACTGTTGTACTTCTAGGTTTATGTACAAGTTAATAAAGAAGCAGCAGATGATAAAAGTGTAGCAAAATCAGCACGTGAGTTTTTCCAGCGATTGGAAATGGGTGACATGCAAGCACTTTCACTATGGCAAAAATTTCGAGACTTGAGCATTGAAGAGTACATTCGAATTTACAAGGTACCTGTAGACTCTCCCCTCTGCTCTCCTGTGATGTGGTACAGCTCTTGACTAGTACTAAAGCTGTTCCTCAAGCTCATGTTTTTAGATTTGTGGTTGAGTTGAAAATTGGGACTTAAATTTGTTGTTTGGGCTGAAAGAGCTACAAAATAATCCAAAAGCAGTATCAGGTGACATTCTGGCTTTTTTATCATTCTTTCACTTTTTAAAATTTTTTCTTCTCTTCTTCCTTAGGCTTGTTTGTGATGCATATAGATAATTAATAAACATTTGGTGTTGGGGTAGGACATAACATTGAATAAAAGAGATAAAAATCCTTGCTGTCATGGACCTTACATTCTAGCATGGAGACAGAGCACAAATTAATTAAATTAAAGGCAGAGCAAATTAAGCAAGGAACATATATCATCTGATAGATGATGCTACTACATGGGGAGATCGATGTGCTCTGTGAGTGGAATGAGGAGAGTTTCGGTAAAGAAGCTCATGTGGCTGGAGTAAGTAAGCGAGATGAAGAACAATAGGAAAGGAAGTCAAAGAGGTATGGTGGGGCATAATGTAGGACATTCTTCAGGGCTGTCCAATATAGCTTTTTGCGGATGTGCTCTGTGAGTGGAATGAGGAGAGTTTCGGTAAAGAAGCTCATGTGGCTGGAGTAAGCGAGATGAAGAACAATAGGAAAGGAAGTCAAAGAGGTATGGTGGGGCATAATGTAGGACATTCTTCAGGGCTGTCCAATATAGCTTTTTGCGGTGATGGAAATGTTCTATATTTGTGCTGTTCAATATGGTAGCCACTAGCCATGTGTGGATATTGAGCACTTGAAGTGTGGATAGAGTGACTGATGAACTAAATTCTCAATTTTATTTAATTTAAATAGCCACTCGTGCCTAGTGGCTACCATATTGGACAGCACAGTACCACTGTGAGGACTTGGTTGGTGTAGTGGGAGCCATTAGAAAGTTTGAACAGAGGAGTGACTTGATCTAATTTTTATTTCTCCCCTATGTGACAGATAGTAAAGCAACCTTAATTTTGTCTTAGGGTAAGATAATATTGAATTTAACATTTTTTTGCTTTTGTTTTTGAACCCATTTAGCGTTTAGGAATATACTTTGATGAATATTCAGGAGAATCATTTTATCGTGAAAAATCTCAAGAAGTCATAAAGTTGCTGGACAGTAAAGGACTCCTACAGAAAACAATGTATGATCAGGTTACTATTCTGTAGTAAAGTTATTTGTTCTTTGAAATTGGTATTGTATTCTTTGAGTAAGGGCAACAGAATGTGGTGTGCAGCCTGGCATTTTTTATGGTGCTTTTTGCTGTTCTAAATTCTTTCCCACATGCTGTGGTGAGGTTGCAGAGATCTACAGTAAGAATGAATCTTCCATCTGAAATTGTGAAGAAGGAAAAATAAATCTGCACTAGTTTTGCTGTTGCTCCTCAGACTGCAAAAGTTACCACCACAGTGTGTGATAAGTGCTTAAAGATGGAGAAGGCATTAAACTTGTGGGTAGAAGACATGAACAGAACCATGTTCCAGTTGATGGCAGTCAGGTTTGGTACCATCTGCTGTTTCAAGCATCAACTAGGGGTCTTGGAGCATATCCCCTGCAGATAAGGGGGACTGCTGTACATACCACATTTTTTAAATCAATTCATCCTTTTCTGGACACTCAGGTTTACTCCCTATCTTGGCCATTGTGAATAATGCTGCAGTGAATGTGGGAATGCAGATATCTCTTCGACATACTGATTTTATATCCTTTGGGTATATACCCAGAAGAGGGATTGCTGAACTAAATGGTAGTTCTATTTTTAATTTTTTGAGGAACCTTCATTCTGTTTTCCATAATGGCTGTACTTATTTATATTCCCACCAACAGTGTAATAGGGTTCCCTTTTCTGCATAGCCTCACCAACATTTATCTTTTGTTTATTTCGTAAAAGTCATTCTAACAGGTGTGAGGAGATAGTTCATCTTGGTTTTGATTTGAATTTCTCTGATGAGCAGTGATGAGCACTTTTTGGCCATTGGTATGTTTTCTTTGGAAAAATGGGTGTTCTAATCCTTGCCCATTTTTCAGTTGGGTTATTTGTTTTCTTTCTACTGAGTTATTTGTGTTCCTGATATATTTTGTATAGTAACCCCATATCAGATGTATGGTTTACAAATATTTTCTCCAACTCAGTAGGTTGTCTCTTCACTATTGATTGTTTCCTTGGCTGTGCAGAAAGTTTTTAGTTTGATTCAGTTCCATATGTTTATTTTTGCTTTTTTTTTTTTTCCTTTTTGTCTTTTTTCGTGTCCGGCAACGGATCGCAACCC